AAGAAGAAAACTATCATCTATTCCAGAACAAAAACTACAGATCATTTCAAGACAGGGAGAGCGGAGACCTGGTGACATTTGTCAGAAAAGACATCAGAGCACAACTAATCAAGGACAAACATATAAAAGAAATATCTTACATGATCATCGAAATTCAAACAGAAGGAGAGAAGATCAACATTGCTAATATATATGCAAGAGATGGGAAGCTACATCACCGACAATTAAGATATCTGACTGAAAAATACCAAAACATCATAATCATGGGAGACTTGAATGCCAAACACAAGGAAATTCTGCAACATACCCAAATTACACAACATAACAGGAATGGTATACAACTAAAATTATACCTAGATGGAAAAGACAACCTGAACTCAACCCCAGCAAATGTCAGTGTTCACAACATCAATGATGTATCAGAATGGACACATACAACCAAAGATGGGAAATGGGCACAGATTGATTACATCATATTGCATCTAAGCATTACACACAAAATCATAGATACGCAATATGAATACATGCTGGTATCAGACCACCAAGGATTATCAACAAGAGCACCAGAACTCTTCCCAGAAACTCATACGCTATCTAAAATCAAATTTGTCCCAGACTGGAGAACATATGATGAATGGAAGTACAAATACATTACAGAAATGGAACTAGAAGCAGCAGTAACAACAGGAAACTGGCATGAACAAACATTAGAAAGAAAAATAGAAGTATTCACAAGTATACAGAAGATGGCGTTCAACAACTCTATAATGTACAAACAAGTATCAAACAGAGGAAACACTAAACCCAGATGGTTAATACAACTCATACAACTCAAGAGAAGATATCAAAATGGACTCAGGAAATTGGCCTCAGACACCAGGAAAAAAAGAGAAGAAGCCATCAACACCATCCTAGGAACACCACAACCTAACCTAAAGTTCCACTACAACCAAGAGACATTTTCATACTGGGAAACAAACCAAAAAAATTACAGAACAGAAATACACAGGCTCGCAAGAAAAATAAACAGAAGCATAATTAAAATCAAAAAAGAAAGCTGGGAGAAGGAACTCACAAAACTTGGAGAAACTGATATAAGGAAGGCTCCAAGAGAATTCTACTCTACCATGAAAAGACTAAGCGGTCTAGGAAGAAATTCAAATGGAATTAGAAAAATGGAATATAAAGAAACAACAGGCAACACAGAAGAAGGAATTGCAAACCTCATGGCAGACCATGCTCAAGACTCCTTCAAACCTCTAGAAGACGAACAGTTCAACTATTTTTATTTCCAAACAATCAAAGAAGAATGGGAGGCAGCACAAGTAGCACTGGATCAAGCTAAAGGAGAGATCACACTCAGCAACGACGCTAAAGAAGACAACTTCACCTGGGACATCGAATCAACGAATATAAAAAACAAAACGCACAAGGAAACAGAACAAGCCAACTATACTCCCAACCTCACAAAACATCAAAAAAAGAATTGGGAGATGAAATGCAGCAACAGCTACAAAAGAATCAAAGAACCATTACCACAAGCACCGAGACCCAACCTGAAAGTAGACAACGATTGGAACGAAACAAAAACACACAACTGCAGGAAAGGAAAGGAGGAATTAGAAAGAGTATACAAACCTTTTACGATAGAAGAGTTAAACAAAGTCATAAACAAAATGAAAAGGAAAGCTCCGGGTAACGACAATCTGGTCATTGATCAATTTAAGGACCTAGGATTTGGAGGGAAACAAAAACTCTTGGAGATAGCAAATGAAATCTATCAAAAAGGAATGTTTCCAGAACCATGGAAGCAGGCAATTGTAGTACCCATACTGAAGAAAGACAAACCAGCAAAAGACCCTTCGTCTTACAGAACTATATCTCTATTACCAGTAGGAGCAAAAATTGTGGAATCATTGGTACTCGGAAAAATAAGTCCATACTTAGACAAAAAAGGACTAATACCAGTCATACAAACAGGATTCAGAAAAGGAAAGAGTACCGGGATAAACCTGAAAAGAATGTATACTCACTCATACACCAGATCAATCAGAAGTACCCATCCAGAACCAACAATCATGGTATTCTTTGATGCAAAAAAAGCCTTTGACAGTGTCTGGCACACAGGGCTATTACACAAAGCCATGAGGGATGGACTACCAGGCATAATCATAAGATTCCTCAGAACCTGGTTACAAGATAGAACCATGAGGATCAGAATAGGAACCACCCTAAGTAGACAGATAAAAATGGAATCAGGAGTACCACAAGGATCTGTTCTGGCGCCAGAAGCATGGAATTATAACACAGGAGATATACCTACCACACTAACAGCACACAGCGACACAGCAGTTTATGCAGATGACACCTCATCAGCAACAACACACAGAGACCTCGACAAGCTAATAGAGCTTGCCCAAAAAGAAATATGGCAACTATCTGACTGGACAAAGAAAAAGAGAATCAAATTTGAGCCTACAAAAACGCATATGCTAGCAATACACAGCAAACCAGAGAAAAGAAGAGACATAAAGAACAACTCACTGTTTCTAGACAGAGAGAAAAAAGAAAAATTAGAATATACTGATCATGCTAAATTTTTAGGAGTAACTTTCTCAGAAACAGGTACATTTCATAAACATATAGCAGACAAACTTAAAATCTGCTATGGTAGAATCAAACAACTTTACAGATTTGCAAAGCATGTTAAAGGAAACACACTATATAAAGTATATAAGACATCCATAGAACCCATCATAGGTTATGGCACTGAAATATTGTGGGAAAATTTGTCTTGCAATACAATAAAAAAACTCAATGCACTAGAATTTACAGCAATCAAAACAAGCTATGGACTGGACAGACAAACACCGACAATTGACTGCCTTGATTATTTACAGGAAGGAGGAATTGCAGACAGACTGGAAAAAAGAAGACATAATTTTATGGAAAACAACAAGGATTCCATACTGATAAAACATGCAGAAACGCTCAAATACTCGGAAGGAAGAAGAATAAGAGTAAGAAATACTCACAGAGACAGAGCACTCAGGAAACAGGATGGAAAACCAATCTTCATCTGCACAAAGAGCACAAATTCTTCTCCAACGACTTTAAAGAAAACACCGAAAATGAAGACATCGATACAACAAAAGAAAAAGATGAAGAAGACAACAAAAATAAAGAAGGAAACACCAACAACGAAAAAAGAAACATCAACGATAAAAAAAGAAAAAATCTCAACACTGCGCAAAGAAACTCAGCCTTCCAGGAAGGAAACACAGCCAAATCTCCAACCAGATTCCCCAATCAGGAGATACCTCATGTAAGGTTCAGATGCAGACCTGGACATGAGAAAGGAGTACAGTTTGACCCTGGATGAAGAAACACTAACTCCTGAACTTACTGATGACGACCAAAAGTTCCTTTCCCCAGCTAAGCCTCCATTGGCACGTCACTCGCGAATGGAGGGAAGGCTGGGGTTTTTCGGAACATACGCCTTACAGACTAGTTACTCAACTGTGATTTAGATCTATTTTTTTTTTTTTATCAGTACAATTGTATTTTATATGTTAGTAATTTAGATTGTATGTCAATATTTAAGATGCCAGTAATTAGGCATAAAGAAATAAACGATAATCAATCAATCAATCAAGAGGCCAACAAAAGATACAATGGAACAAGACAAATAGTCATGAGATTAAAAACTTGTATCTACACTGGTAGGAGAATATTGCAATATAATAATGAAGTCAATTTTTTAAATTCAGTTTAATTGTTAACAAGCATTTTTCAACTTACAAGTTTACAAGAAATTAAAGAGAAGCTTTTTTAATTTGAATGATTTGATTCGTTCAATCAGCGTTTGTTAATGTTAATGACATCATTTTTGAATTTTTTGTTTGTTTATTAAAATGAGGCTGTTCTCTGGTCATAATAGAATAAATTATTTCTCCTGACTATTCTTCTCATGAAGGGATATTTTATTTAAATTGTATATACATTACNAATATATGGAATATGATTTAATATAAATAGATATTAACAGATATATTTGTACCAATAAAATGTGTCATGTTAAACCACCCACTTATTCAAGACCTTGAGAGATAGATATTATACATAAGAAGAGAGGTTTGGGTGAATTATGAACTGGTACTGGGAATGAAAGTGAAGTCTTGCATTAACCCTCAAAGATGGGGGGGGCAACGATTGATCTTGATTTCCCTAGGATTTATGTCTGGGATTGTAACGATATCAAGGGATTAAATGTTACAATAAAAAATCTTTAATTATTTCTAGAGGATATAGAACACATTCTAGACTTAAAATGCGTTTCCAACTTTGAACAAGTTCTTGATAATAAGAATGTGTTAACGATTTTAACCGTTCTTTTCAAGCAATTCCTGTTCCGTTCCGTTCTTTTACTTATCTTTATATATGTACATAGTTATACAACGAATATTTCTTGTGATTATATAATAATCAAATAATCAAAACAATATTAAATTTAATAATAAATGAATATAACAAAGCTAAAGAAAAAAATAGATAGCATTCAATTCAAACAAATTCAAGAGCTTCTTTTATTTGAAAATCAATTTTAAAACCCAAGTAACCATCTTAATCACTTTTTATTGTCATTTATTGTCAACTTTGACTGATAAATTACAATATTAAAAATAATGATTAACCTGATTTGTGTATGGTTCCCATCCTAGAATTGTAAGGTGTAGAGGGTTTAATCACAGTCACTGTAATTTATGTTTTAAAAGTTGTAGAAATGAGTTAAATTGCACTTCCAATTTCCTATTTACCCTAATCACCCTCTATTTTCTAATTGAAACCCAGTCCTTAAATTAAAATTGTTTTCCAGTTTATCTAAAATTGTTAGAAACACAAATTGCGCTTAGAGACTTCATTGAAAAAGATTGTTCCTTTAAGTCTAGTATATTTTCCATTCTTTTTAAGGTTTTCACTCATAAATGATCTAAATCTTATTAAAGACGTTAATATTTATTTAAAAACTTCAAATACATTAAAATGTGTTAAAATGCCACATTATTGTCTGATTTCATTTTATAGGTTTTGATATTTCTTTCTAAATGAATTTTTATTAATAATATCAAACACTAAAGTACTTCTAGTTCTAGAATAGACTTCTTCAATTGCTTAAGAAGAACATCATCAATCCCAGGGACGTCCTTACATTTACTAGCCTCATTGTTTTCATCAACCTAAATATAAAATTTTTTCTTTTGTTTAATTGATTAAAAAATTTGGAAGAAAATAATTTTTAAGACAAACAAAATTTGTGACAAATTTATATTCATAACTACATTAATAACTGTGATTGACTCTATGTTGCACCAAGAGAATGCCTACGCGATAATTCCTATTAGACCTGCGACTGACCGTTTCTTCAGAAAGAAATTATCAGGATTAACACTTTTCTAACTAGAAAAATGATGAATATATCTTCCACAATATTATTAAAGATTTCGGGGTACTTATTTAATTTGGGTATGTCCCTTTTTAAATGGAGTGTCACTTGAAAATGCAATTACAGTCTTTTTAAAATGTGCTGACAGAACACATTCTATAAACATGGTGTTCATAAAGGTTTCAAAAAGTTTGTTTTATAAAAATGGTCGTTTTTCTAAAAATCGGTGTTTCATTAACAATCGTTAATAATGACCCTTTGTTAACGATCATTAACAACCCTTCCTTAACGATTGTTAACAAAGAGAGGAAACTGACCCGAATGGCATCTGTACTTATCATTTCTAAGAAGTTTTAGCTCCCTGCAACATTTTAACTTCATGTAAGACGATATTCAATAAAGTTGCATGTAATTTTTTTTCTCCAAAAACGGTCATTTTTATAAAGTTTGTTGTTTCGTTAACGCTTGTTAATGACAACCCTTTGTTAAAGATTGTTAACAAAAACCTTTTGTTAACAATAATCAAAATAATTGTCAATACATTTTTTTTTCAAAGACAATCGTTTTATTCAAAAGAGATCGATTTAAAAAACAATTCTATAAAAACGGTCACAAATCGTTTTTAAAAAAACTATCATTTTCTGAAACGATCGATATTTATTTTCTGAAAGTTTAAAAGGAGTGAGTTGTTTTTAAAAAGGTTGTTTTTTCCAAAAACGAAATGATTGTTTAATGATCATTTTAAGAAACGATTAACAACCCTATGTATATTAAAAGTTATATTCGTCAGATGAAAAAATTGACCCTGTCAACATTGTTGAAGTGACAAAGAAATGTTACCTTAGCAAGAGCTTGTTCAACCTGTTGCAAAAGTTGTTCAGGTGTCCAACTGTTCAATTCAAATATTTCAAAGGTTTCAAATATACTCTGCAATTTCATCTCAGTGCCCTTGGTAAGCAGGAAATAAATATTTGAAACTTATGTTGAAATATGCAACTATTTTTCTAAGACACTTTTTGGGAAAAAGCTTATACATTTATCATCTGCATTTTTTGTCCATAAATATAGGAAAACATAATATTTCATATATTTTTGTAATTATGTAATTATAGCTAAACGGCTTAATTTTGAAAATCTGAAAAAAATTTTTATGTTGGGCATTATCTATAGGTTTGGTGTAAACTGCCCCAAAATCAAAATTTGGGTTATATGTCAATATTTCCATGCGTCTGTACATTAACACAGAATCTTTTCTTTTATTTGTGACAATCCTGAATCAAAATAAACTCACACTTGATAAAAATTTCAGGACTGCAGGACAAAAATGAAATTATTTAGCAAAATCATGTGTTTCTGTGCTGCACAAAAAAGCATGAAAATCACACTTGATTTCATTCCAATCTATCAACTTTGTTAAAAACTTTGATTTCATTTCATAAATATGATTTTATTTACCAAAATCATGGGTTTCTGCGCCATACAAAAAAGCATGAAAATCACACTTGATAAAAAATTCAGGACTGAAAGCAAAAAGTTGCTAAAAAATCAGAAAACCAGAAGTTGAAAGCAAAAAAGTTGTTGAAAATCTGAAAACCAGCAGAAGAAAGTAAAAAAGTGGCTGAAAGATTTGAAAACAGTTGAAAGCAAAAAAGTTATTGAAAAATCTGTAAACCAGCAGTTAAAAGCAAAAAAAGTTGCTTAAAAATCTGAAAATGGTTGAAAGCAAAAAAATTGTTGAAAAATCTGAAAACCAGCGGTTGAAAGTAAAAAAGTTGCTGAAAAATCTTAAAACCATCGTGGAGTTTAAAGTAAAAAAATTGCTGAAAAAAGGTGCATTTCTTATTTTTTGAACTGCATAGAGTCTAGGCTAGATCTCAACCGCTCGTTCAACCGCTCCCACTGAGTTTTTTTCTCCAAAGTATATATCATTCCTAATTTTTGGAAAAATGCATGGAAATAAATTTTAAGAACAATGTTATGGAACTGCCAGGTTTAGGTACTTATCAGAATCTTTGCCACAAGCTTAAATTTTCTAATCTTTATATCTTTACAACCTGAGTCTATAACTAAAGAATGCACAAAATTTCCGAATAAAAATGAGTTGAGACTTAAATTTAATCATGAGCTGTTCTGTTTCATAATTTCAATTTGATCATGTAATTGTACCACTAACAAAGTTCAAAATATATTTCGGATTACACGCTGAAGTTAGTTAGTTCAGATAACCGAGGAAAACATTTTAAAACTTTGGACGTCAGATTAAATCATTTTCATAAATGGAAATGTTGCGTAATAGAATGCATGATTTCCAGGTTTAAATTTTTACTTGACAAAATCGATGAGTTAAATATTCAACCTCAGACTCTGATGGTGTGAACATCTGATATTTAAAATTTTATTTATTTGATTTTACAGAATTATCAAAGGTCTAAGACTTTTGGTTAAAATATAGAGATTAGATAATTAGAATTTGTGGCAAAGACTCAATTCTTTTGCAAAATTTTTGGTTCTATAACTATAAAATGGCATTATGCAAAAAATGATGATTTTTTTTTCATGTACATTTTTGAATAAACTGCATGAATTACATAAATTTTTCAATGTGTACCAAAATTGTAATGCAGTTACTAACAATTTGCTCCTTAAGTTTTGTTTATCTCCTTAGTTATAAATATAAATTCTAGGTAACCTTTCCTCAAAGAAATTCAAAGATGAAAATAAAAAGTATTAAGCACCCAACACCAGTTACAGAAACAATATACTGTAAAGGTGACCTGGATAGAGGTTTCATTTTCTGAAAATAAAAAACGAACTACATTAGAAATATATAAAATTATTTAACACAATTTTACTTTTATCCAATTTGCGATCAAATAATTTGATAAACTTTCAAACCTTTGATAAAAATTTCTGATCCTGTTTTTTACCTAATAATTCTTTAATTAATTCTTAAATTACAAAATTAATCGTATTATTATGTTTTTTGAAATTATTTCATGCTCTTAATAAGAAGAAAAAAATAGTCTTAAATTAAATACAATTTATTAAATTAAATGTAACAAAAATCTGAGCTTTGAACCTGTTCAAAAAAGCAAGATATCAGATAAAAGCTTTTTAAATGTTTTTGAATTGATTCATTTAATAAAATTTTAATAAAAATAAACTTGCCGGGTTGAGAGCTGATATACTTCTGACTATATTTGGAAAAAATGATAATCTTGATCCATGATGAATAGTTATAAACTTGCCTGGCTCTGTCTAAAACCATCTGTAATATTTTATTCTGAATCTGAAGTAAAAATTGGTCTTTGCAAGGTATGAACAACTACAGGTAGTTTCTGCCATTCCTGTTCCTTCAAGACGGTTTTCTCACCTCTAGTCAAGGCTGTTCTTATATATCAACGATGATTGACAGAACCACTCTCTGGCCAGAAGCAGTTCCTTTGTCCTCCATCTCTATTGAGGCTTGCGTGAGAGCTTTCATCTCAACCTGGATTTCTGTCAACTCTAACTTCAGACAGAGGAGCACAGTTCACATCCTCCATCTGGACCAGAGTCTGTCGGTTCCTGGGTATCTCAACCTCTTGAACAACAAGTTTCCATCCACAATCAAATGGTATGATAGAGCGTTTCACAGATCCCTTTAGTCTTCTCTCCAAGCCAGAGCTGCTGACTCCGACTGGGGCTCACACCTGCCTCTGGTTTTGTTGGGACTCAGTTCTGTTCCCAAGGAAGACACAGGTTTCCCCATCTCAGAGGTAGTGTACAGTTTTGCTCTGACGATCCCTGGTGAATTCCTAGACACCCCAGAGCTTCCAAGTTCTCAATTTGTCAGCAAAATAGAGAAGGTAATAAATAGTTGGTTTTTCTACTCCTCCGCCTCATCATGCCCAACATTTGCCTCCAGCTGAAATCCCTACTGCCCTTAAGACTGCAAAGTTTGTGTTTGTAAGAGAAGATGCCAGCAAACAACTTTCACTCGCTCCTCTGTATCGGGTCCTTATCTGGTTGTGGAGCGGCAGAGAAAGTTTCTTTGCCTCCAGATTGGTACTAAGGTAGATGCTGTTTCTCTGGACCATTTAAAACCAGTGTTTTCTGACTTTCCAGTGGTTCCTGTGGCTCCTCCGCCTAGAGGATGTCCTCCTCTTCAACCAGCAAAACAGCCTCCTGACCCATCCTCCGCTGTGAAAAAGTCTGTGGTGTTCCTAATCAAACCTGAAGTTATACCAAGACGGAACCATCACAGACATGCCAGAGTAAGAAGTTCCTGCTCCTCCGGATGTGAAGGCGTGGCAAGCTGGGGGTTATTCCTGCCATCTATGTACAATTTATTTTTTTTTAATTTGCAAAATAAGATCCTTATCAGTTAATAAAATATTTATTTAGACTCGTCGTCTTTTTAACTGAGTGTAGCTAAATCCATTCACTTATTTAAAAAATAAAATGTGGAAACTTAGATACTGTATATGATTTAGCAGTTAATTTCACTGACTTAATTTGTAATATGAAACTGAGTTTTGTTTTGAACTGCAAATTTTACTCAAAAGTTTTGTCTTGAAGAGGGTTTAAAACACATTTTATAATTTTGAGTTCAGAAATTACTTTTTTTCTTGGTCTTTAAAGTTAAGTTGTTAATGCCTTAATTAACAAATTTTACTCTAGGTATGGGTCAGAATATACAAACCCTATATGTGTGCACATTTTTGATCTCAGTGGACCAAGTGTTAGTATTGGAACTAATGTTTCCTGGACAGAGATCAGGCCTTGAATGTCCAAGGTGTACTGGTTAGGATAAATATAGCAGAAGAAGGTTTTAGATAAAACAGTTTTGCCCTCAGATTTCTAATTAAAGATTTAGAATAAGTCTACATAACTTACCAAAAATAAGAAGAAGAAATGTCGAAACAATGGCTCGCCTGGAAGGTGTAAAGTAAAACATGGAATTATGATTAGAATTAAAAATTCACTGATATATTAAGAAACATACATTGCAATTTGTTTATTTTTGTACCATAAATTTCTTAGGAATCAGACAGTGTGTATTGCAGGCTGCAGTCTGGTTCTTGTAGTAAGGGAAATGGTATACAGCAAGTTAATTCAAATATTGCTACAAATTGTTTTCAATTACAGTTTCTTTTTTTATTTCTTTTTTTTTGAGCCATTACTGAAGGTGATTTTTATTTAACCCTGTAAAGGCTAGGGGGTCTAAATCTATGTACAGGGGGGGTGGCGTCCTGCACCTCCCCCAAGAAATGACATTGGAGAAAAGGCATACAGTTGTAATGCATGTTTATAGCCCAATTTTTCAAGGCCAGCTTAATGAAAAAAAAATTTGACCGATAACTTTAGTAGTTTGAGTGCTAGGGAGGGCTGAAACAATACCAAAAAAGGGTAAGAAAAATAAAAAAAAATATTTTGTTTTGTTTTTAACAAATATCAAAGTCTGACTCATGTCTCTGTCTCCATTTTTTAAGGGCTTTTCAAAAATATAGTTTTTAAATCTGTAGCTTTAGTCACAAACAAGATATTTTAGATTTTTTTTAACAAAGCAGACTATTAATTTTAAAAAAAATTTTAAATCAATATTCATCAAAAGTCACAAGGTGATAGTGTCAACCATGAGAGTGCTATTGAAAAAAACTACAGGAGGGGGCGCCAAATGTCCCCCCCCCCCACCTCTGTTTAGGGACAAATCGGGATATAAAATAAAAATAAATATCATAATTCCAAGATTTACTTAACATGGTTGAATCTGAAACAATAAATAATTCAGCTTCAAATTCTTTAAAAATGGTAGCATGTTTTTAAACTCCCAAAACTCCAAGTATGACAAACTTCTTAAAAACCTAACATTTTTGACATATAACTTGAAAATCATAAAATAATAAACGTTTAAAACTCCAAAAAATTTTGATAGAAACCTTAATTTTTTAATTTGTAAACTATGCAATTTTGGTTAGTTGGTTTCTAAATGATCAAAAAAAGTTTTAATTCCAAGAAATATGATTTTCAAAATTAATTAAACTAATATGACTTTTCTGTTACATATTTACAGAAGCTCTAGGCTTTCTAGAGCAAAGATGGTAATGACCTCTTTGTGTGCAGATGTGTTAGATCTTCAGCTATTGCTTTAAGGACATTTAGAATAAACTCAGTAGTGTGCATGAATGATAAGGTGCATGCAAAAAATACAAAATACAATCTTTGCATAGAAATTCTGAATCTTTAAAGTAAAAATTGGTCTTTGCAAGGTATGAACAACTACAGGTATGGACGAAAGGAAAACAAGTTATTTGGCAGGCAAAAATTGTCACAGAAATTAATTCTTCAGCAGTCCAAATATCTCACAGATAAATATTCACTATTCCTACAGCCCATACCTTTAGTCTAAATACATTTGGTCTGTGTATGTTGTTTATTATATCTGTAGAGGAAAGAATATTCCGTTATCAAAGAAAGTCTAAAAGTCTGATATTTAGAGCAAAAGTGTGGAGGAGGATTGCTTTTATTTATTTATTAGACAGCTAAATCTCGCCAGGATGTTGTCTCCTCCTTCCATATTTGAAATCCTAATATCTAAAAAAATATGATTAAGTGAAGAAACTATACATGTTACTTTTTTCCTACTGTCCTATTTCAAGCTATTTCAAACCTTGAGGAAAAAAACTTAAAATTGCTATCAAATAGAGCGAATAGAGCTGTATAAAGAATCTAGTCAGTAATTAGTTTGAAATGTCAATTTCATCTTGAGTATGTCCAAACAGTAACAGAATGAAACATTTTGCAAAAAAATGCAAAAATTCACATTTCACATTCAAAAACTTTTTTTCAAAATTTTGCAAAATGAATGAAGCAAAAAATACAAAAACAAATATTATTAGGAAGAGTTTGCATTTTGAGAAAATATGTTAGCAAATTTTGTTTTGCAAAATTTCACTATTAGCATTTTTCTTTTATTTTTGCAAAAAAAATGAAATTTTGTGAAAAAGTTTGCAAAATGCGAACAAATATTTTAACATTTTTTCGCGAACCGTTTTGTTTGCTGCATACCCTAGTTTAAACTGGACAAGAAAAGGACAATTGTTTCAAAAATTTTGATCCTGATGATTTGCTGGGTGCAAAGTAAAAAAATGAACCTCCTTTTTTATTTAAAGCTGTATTTTGTTTTATAGCATTTTTTTTTTTAAATCCAAATTTTTTCGCCAAATTTTTGCATTTTCTGTTTTACTAATATATTACATTTTTTTGCAAACCCTAGTTTAAACTGGATCAAATCTTGTGCAAACTGTAAGTCAAATTGTACTTTTTTATAGAATTTCCAGTTTTTTGCATTAAGTGAAAACAAAACAGAACTTTATTTTCATAAGAAGATGGTTCCAGAAGGCTATATTTTGAAAATAATTACAACAAATTATTTAATAACAGCAAGGAAAACTTCATGACAATAAAGATATACAAAAGATCTATGATACATATGTTTTAATTCTCTTTTGCTAAAATATAGCTTAGAGAATTAAATAATAGGATAGTTGTATAACTACAATTCTATAGAAATGCAGCAATTAAAATGAAAATTAAAATAATAATTTTATTAAAAGGCTGACCTTGGCTTAAAACTTTACGATAAGGTCTTCTTTCCCAATCATGAATAAGAACAACTCCATTATCTTCCAACAGGTCATTTCTAAAAGTAAACAAAATTTTACATTAATGTTAAGCTGTTATTCTGTTAGTAATGTTGTGAATTAAGGTTGGAATATAAATAGAACCAATGTAAATAGTTTAGGGACCGTGTACCCCTGCTTGATGAATGTTACATTTTCATAAGCTATAAAAGAAACCCATGCTGTGCGGGGTCATGGAAACTCCTGCCTTTAATCAGAAAGACAGACTGAGAGATTATAGGAATGAAGCCAAAAATAGGCAGATGCCAAGTTGATATGACGATTTCCTGCACCAGCGGCAGGAAGAAATCTGTCATGATGTATGATAAGTCTTCATCAAACAGGAGGTGGAGGAGGTTTCATGCACAGTACATTTGCTGTTGGAGGCAGATGTAAGATTGACATGTTTTAATGGCTGTAATCTAGTATATGCTAAAAATTCAAGACAACAACTCATATTGTCAAATATTCAGCAATACGGTTTTACAATTTGTTATTATTATTTATACAAACACGAATAAAAATAATAAAATATTATACGATCAATATGCATGAATAATAATCAAGGTGGGGGAGGATCTCCAGGGCAACCTATTATTCAGGGAGTTGGTGCTCAACTGCTTATTTTCCCCAAGCTTCACTCCACCCTAGCCTAGATCATAACCCTAGCTTCCCGGGAGCTGGCCGGCCACCTCCCCAGCGCCTGGGCCTCTGGAATAACGGAACATTCGGCGTCGCTTGGGTTATTTATAGAATTATCATATAAACACAAATAAATCCGTTAGGTCTGTACAAGGGATGGAAAGAGGGGGGGGGAGCAAAGCCCCCCTTGATTGCAGGAAAGATCAACAAATCACTTTCCCGCTACAGTAGGTTTACCATAAGTATCCTTTTTGTTATGTTTAAACTGTAAATATATTGTGTGTGCAATAATGTGTAATTATTTGTTACAGTCAGGTTTTTATTTAAAGTCTTTACTATCCTAGTTGTACTTGGCCTTTTCTATTTTAATTAAAACTTAAGCATCCTTTGTTAATGATCGTTAACAAAGACCCTTTGTTAATGATCGTTAACAACAACCCTTTGTTAACAATTGTTAACAACAACCCTTTGTAAACGATTGATAATGACAACCCTTTGTTAAGGATCGTTATCGACAACCCTTCATTAACGATTGTTAACCGCGACCCTTTGTCAACGACGACCCTTCCTTAAGGAGCGTTAACATAATTGTCACTAAAATTTGTTTTCAAAAATGATCGGTTTTTAAAAAACATTCGTATAAAAAACGGTCACAAATCGTTTTAATAAAAATGATCATTTTCTAAAACGATCGCTATTTGTTTTCTAAAAGTTCAATACAAGTGGATCGTTTTTAAAAATGATCGTTTTTTCCAAAAACGGACCGATTGTTTTTGAAAACGAAACAAAAAATGATTGTTTATCGATCGTTTACATAAACGATTAACAACCCTAGTTGTAATGGACAAACTGTTTGACCTTCTGAAATCAAAAATACTGAAGTAAATGATGATATTGAAAAACAATAGTTTTTCCAAATGTTTTCTTAAGTAAATTTGAACTTAATAAGTTTTAATCTCAAATGTGATCAAAAGTTCATGGTTAACAATTAGTAAGGAAAGTACAAATGTTATTGAATGTACTTTTATTAACAATGGTTAACAAAAGTCTAAAGCCAACTTTTAGTCTTTTTTTAACACAGATATTGCCACCTGATAATACTGAGGGCAGCATCTACTCTTGCTCTCCCATCATCCATTATTAATCCAAATTTTTCCCCAAGACTTCCTGGAAACTCTATATATTCTCTAAAAATAAGTACTTAGTTATAAAAGGTTTAGTGATCAAATAATTCTTAGGAATCTATAATAATCAAATAATTAAAACCAATATTAGTTATGATAATCAATAAATATAACAATGTGAAAAATAGAAATAGATAACATTCAATACGAACAAATTCATAAGTTTCTTTTATTTAAAAATCAATTTTAAAACCCATGTAGCCATCTTAATCTCCTTTTATTGAAATTTATTGTCAACTTTGACTGATTAATTACAATATTAAAAATAATGATTAACC